ATGTCCGCTCCACTCCACGCGCGCTAGTGTGCCAATTTCGGGATTTTGTTTTACTGGGACCTACTCTTAAGTCCCCAGCTCATTCGTATAATACTAGAAAGAGAAATGAGGTTATCCTGCCACATAGATTAAAGTTTTTTGAAAAGAAACCAACCTACATGGGATATACTTTTCCTAAATATATTCCAGAAAACATAAGAAGAGAAAATAATTTAAATAAGTTCAGGAAATTGCTGAAAGAATATTTGATACAACTGGCCCCTTAGAAGAATTTTCCACCTCCCAGATATAACCTACTGTAGATATAAATATTTTTGTTATTACTTTTCATTTTTGCTTGGTAAATTGTAAATATTAGATTTTAATTAGATTTAGTATTGTAATATATATGACCCTATTTACTGTACAAACTATGTACAAAAATAAAGAACTATGACTATGACTATGACTATGACTATGAATACTCATAAGGTTAACATAGGAAAATCCAGAGCCACTGGGGCGGAGCTCGAAAGGATTTTTGAGATAAGAATATGTCTACATGTTAATCGGGAATGTGAGCTGTCATCAAACCAAATTTCAACCCTGTCGGTTTAGTATATTTAATGTTTACTTGTCAGAAACACCCATCCAGACATTCTCAGTTATAATACAGGGCGTTTATAAAAGAATCATCAGGTTTTAATGGCATGTACCTCAGCCAATTCTTGTCCCACATTAATATTTGAAACATGTGCTTAAAAAGCATGTTTCCAAGTTTTATAATCAGCTGCTCAATAATCATTCTTGGTTTTCCTTGGACGTGTTTTCATAATTTTCAAAATGATAAGAATTAAAGAAAAAACATTTTGTGTTTTTCATTATGACTCAAGTTTATCTTTAATAACCGTGCAGAGTGAGTTTCGGAGGCGTTTTAGACAGACTCCTCCTACATACCAAAGCATTATGTTGGTATTATGGTGGTATCGCTAGTTTGAGAACTCTGCCTCATCCTCCTCCTTAATATCTATGTTCGTAACTTCAATGAGAAGCTACCTCAGAGGTGGATTGGCAGATATAACAATAATGACTTGGCCCTTCTCAAATGGTTCCTTACATCTCCTGATTTTACAGTGTGTAATTTTATTCTATGGGGCTATGTAAAAGACAAAGTTTATGTACCGCCAATGCCTGAAACGCTTCAAGAGCTCCGTGGACGAATTTGCAATGCCGTAGAATCAACCAACCTTGCGATACTAGCCGGTGTATGGGACAATTTACAGCATAGATTGGAAACTTGCTCCACGGATAGTGGACGGCACATTGAGCACTTCTAGGGGTTGGGGTATCTATGACAAATTTAAGAGCTATCCTTTTTGTTGATATGTTTTATATACATATTTGTTTAACATTAACGTCAATAGGCTAACATGTTTTAAAACCTGATGATTCTTTTATAAACGCCCTGTATTAGTAGGACAAACCATAGACAAATTTATTTGTCTAGGACAAACGTAATAAGTGACAATTGTTTATTTTCCATAACTAAGGAGAGGAAATTTACGTTATATTTATTGCTTACTCTAACATTGTAATGTGCGCTACTTTATTGGCACGAAACCTGCTTATTCACTTCCTATATGTTATTCTTATGAATGAATCATTTGAGCACTTATTTATGGACATAAGTTGACAAGTTTACTTTTAAGGCAGGATTTTCCAATAAATCATTATACATTCTCTGAATATGTGAATGTGCTGCAATGGGGGTATTTAGGCGTGCCGTTGTTATATCCTATATAATTATATATATATAATATGTATTAAAAGATATTAATACGTATGCTTACTACTGGATATTATACAGCTAGTTTACGCGCATGGAGAAACATTTTGGCTGTTCTTAAGAAATTGAAAGTGGCCACTATTTAGAATTTTAATAATTACCTTATTTTAGGTCTTTGAGAGAAAATACTTTAAAATCCTTTTTAGTACGTATCTAAAATCTTAGAAACTGATTTTTTAGAGCACTAGGTGATATGAAAAATTGGCCACTATAGACCTGATCCTCTTTCTCAATTTAACAGTTTACAACCGAGTTTTGGTTTGCTAAACAATTATTTGTACTACATTGAATAAATCGGAAGTTCATCATAGTTTTTTAACATTCCCCTAAGAAATGTATGTAAAAACAATGGTTCAGTATGATGTAACACTTAAAGAGGTACCATGTGTAAAGTGTGCAATATTATATTATTTTCATAATTTTGTCATCTCTTTTTTACTGTTGCAGACGATCTATTTATGTTTTCAACCTGACTTGAAAATTGATCTGATGAGTAATCTGCTCACATTTCATCTTTAAAACTGTTATTGTATATTGTGAAAGTTGGTCAACCATTGGAAGCACCTTCTAGGAATAAATTAAAGGCGTAGGGGTCAACCTTTTGAAGCCCTGATCGAAATATCCTTTTTAATTACCATTTTGCGCTGCGCTAGATCTTAGGCTTTTAAATGACACCTCAATCGTAAAAATCGGCGAAGTAGGCTGGGTTAAAACGGACTGCTACAGCTTATTGAATTAGGAAGAAAGATAATGTTATATCGCATGCTTACTACTGGATATTATACAGCTAGTTAACGCGCATGGAGAAACATTTTGGCAGTTTTAATAGGGAAAATCATGTTGTAAACAATCACATGACCACATATTTCTTTCAACCGATAAGGCCTATATGATATGCAATTTAGATCCAATAATTTTACTGTAAAACTAATTGTAATTGTATTGTAATTGTAATTGTCTCGATTTGAAACGCCTTGAATTGAGGTTGGTCGATTCACACACACTGGTTTACAGTACAGTAGCTACATATCACCTTCCATTGCATGCTATATATGAACAGAGAACATCAGTGCCAGAAACAAAAGACAAAACACACTCCAGCTCATCTCCTAAAGAAAATACCAGTTCGCAACAACAGAACGTGATACTCAAGGACAATATCTGGAAAATATAGAAATCAGGCTTCAACGCAGTGAAGATAACAATGATCAACTTGAAAATGCAGAAATCAGGCTTCAACCCAGTGAACATAATAATCATCAAACAGATAACAATGCTTCAACAGATGTTCCTCGCAAATCAGCCAGAACAAGAAAGCAACGGAAAAGACTGGACTTATGAATCAAATTTAGTGGGGAAGAAACTGTTGTATCTCTATGTTTCAAATGCTCTGCATTTAATAATTTAATCATCTGTTATTTTCAAAAATGTGATTCAATTAATGTAAATAAACCAGTGACAAAATAAGGCTCATTTTTCAACTTACATTTATTTAACTATTTATTTCAATATAAACTTACAATACATAACAGAAACATAAAACAATAACAGATAGTTTGTTTTGAAAGAGCTGTTTAGTTAAAATATCATTCATTTGGAAAAGAAATTGTCACCTGTAGAAAGAATAAAAAAATAAACACCTAATAACTTAGCAACGCAATTTGTCTATGTTTATTATCCATAGTGTTATCCGTTCTACTATCTGTGATCGCTACTCTATTAGGATTGTGCTGGTCGATAGACTTGATGTGTGAAACGCGGTATGAATCATAAACATAAACAAATGACGGTTTTGGCCCGAAAATAAACATTATTTAACATTGCTTAAATGGAGCTGCCAAAACATATGTTCAATGCTATAAGTATAGGATTCGGGCTAACAACGTCATTTGTTTATGTTTATGATCCATACCCGGTATTTTTCTAGTAATCGTGGTGAAACGCATTTAACCCTCAAAGTGTCCATAGTATTGGTCTTAATAACCGCCCATTTATTGCGCAATCGCAGGGTTTTATTAAAATGTATCTTAAAAACTTAAATCAATGTAAAGTATACTGTTTTATATATAATTTTGTTTGGAAAATTATGGGCTTCAATGTAACATATAAAACATTACAAAAAAAATGTTCAACAATTTTTGTGGGGTTAACATTTCTAAAAGATTATAAAATTAATGAAAAAATGCATGTTTGCGCTCAATAAATTGTTATAATTTATAGGTCTACAAATATTTTAAAATAGCGAATTTGTTCAAAATTTTATGAGGATTCCAAAAATATAGTAATATAAGGAAGTAGGTTTGCAAATAAAAGTTATGGACAAAAAACAGATTTCGTACATAGCGTTTAGCTAAGAATGCGTAGCCTAACCATAGCTAGGAATCTGGCTGATAATTTACATCAATATCACTACCTACTTCTTCAGGATCATCAACCAGCCCTTCAAAATCACTTAAATCTTCTTATAATGCACCACGTATATCACTACTTTTGATTTTTAACACTAAAACAATAATAAACGTAATAAAACACATCAGTCATCGGTGCGAGGTTAACCAAGTTGTTAACAAATACGCACGTCAGCTGTCTGCTTCAATATTTTCGGAACTAAAATTAAAAGCGTCTACATCAGGAGAAAGCTCAGAATCTGCCGAAAACAACGATACCAATCTCGATCCAGTTCAATCTGATTCAGTCAGTCCCAGAGCCTTCGCCGTAAACGATGTTTGTGTGTCGCAAAAGCGACGCATAACACCACAGCGGCCGTGTTATGTGTCGATTAAGCTACACTTAACATTCGGAGGGTTAATTCTGCAAGATGGTGCGGTATGCTGGACGCTCTGGAGAACACCTTCCACGTCCCGGCATACCTCATGCGCATTATAGCGGATTACCTCTGGTTCTGCCTCCTCATGTATGATACTACAGAAGGCCCGCGGACGATGAGTGTCACTTCTGGTGCTGCCCAAGGTTCCATATATTCGGCCCGGAAAAATGAGATCATGTTCTGACCAAAAAGGGTATTGACACCATTGTGCCGTTGAGGGTGGGGGACATCAAAGTCCAAACCGTTCGTGCCGCCAAGTATCTTGGTGTCATGGTGGCTTAGCTGGCGGGACCAGATATTCCAGATAGACAAGAGTTGCTTGTTATGTAAACAGTACATGTGTTTCAGGTCACAAAGATCCAGCGTGGGGTCCAACCCGTTTGGAGGCTACACCAACGTGAGTGTGAGCAGTGATGACTACCAGTTCTCTGAGGATGCGAGTCAGAGACTAAAACGAGATGAGAGACTGTTCTCCATAGGGAGCACACGCTCTATCAACAGCGACACCAGGATCTCTATCAAGTAGGTCATAATAGTGGCTAACTCATTATATGTCGTTCCATCCGAGATGTTTCATTCACTCATTTATATTGGGATTTACCTTTTCAATGGAGAGCTTAGCATTGTATACCTTTTATTTACAACAAAAATTTGTAATCACAAACAGTGGAGACTTTGACTTTCGTATAAAATATTAAGGTATGAAGGTGTTGTGGTTGTAACCATTATTACATATTCTCATAGGAAATATTGTTCAATGTAAATAATTCAACACGTTTTAGATACCTTTTTATAGTTTTTTAGATTCTTTTTTTAGTTTGTCCAATAATTGTCTTCATGACCACTACTAGGTCTGGCTAGTTTACGCGTGAAGTTTTCCAGCAATCGCTGTTTTCCAACTACGATATGACGGAAATATTAGTTAACGTTTTAAAATCGCTAAATGATGAAAAATATTTGGTACCACCCGAGTACCCGTCCTTGCACGGAGTTGGCGTATAAGTATAAAATGCTATACTCTGATTATCGAAAGAATGTGCCTTGCAGAGCGGCCGTGTGGAGACCAAGTTTAGCTACAAACATTCTATTTCACAAACTTGTGGAAACGTAACAGAAGGTTAGAAATTCTAATAAACAGTGTTGAAATAGTCAGTTAAGCATGTTTTCAGCGCATGTTTTAAATATTTTGTATATTATTGCGATGAATTAATATTTGTAGTTATATTTGTAAAAACACAATTGGAATAAAAATTTTGCGAATTCGTGTATTTACAAATATAACTACAAATATTAATTCATCGCAATAAGATTGAAAAATACGCCAACTTTTTATGTAAAACATTTTTTTATATCTCTTCTCATTTCAATACAAAATCAACACACGAAGGTTGAAATTTAAAAGTGAAATAATTTACATTCAAACTTAAATTACAAGAAAATTACTGAATATATCGATTACATTCTTGAAACGTTTTTTGTAGAGAATACTTTAAGGATTGAAATGGTGAAACAAAATTTATTCTATTGCTGTTTGTTTCTGAGATATTGAAAGAAAGAAAGAAAGAAAAAAGTGCTTTATTCTTCACAACTTATTTACAACTGATACAATAAAAAACAAAACACACAAAACAATGGTTTATTTAAACCATCTGTTTGGTTGGCACACTGCTGTAAAATAACATATTTTAAAACTGTAACATGTAACTAATTAACTAGATATACGTATATATAAAAAAAAACCAACATTTATAATTATTTTTCAATTTATGTAATACAGCTCGTAAAAAAACATAAATTAAAAGCAACATTAAAAATCATGAGACTCGCTTGGAACCACTATTTTAAACAAATGTTTCTGAGATATTGATAAAATGATAAAAGCTTACAAAAATACACTTAAAAAGGTGTAGAGGGGGGGGGAAGAGAGAGGGGGAGGGGCGTAGACTTTTTAGAAAGGGAGCCTACCAGTAGACCGACAAGATACTTAGTCGTCTGGCCACTAGACCGTCTTTTTTTAATAAATAGATAAATACTGAAAACCCGTACGTCAACAAGATATTTCGTCGTCAGTCCAGTTGACCGGCCTGTAAAACTAAACTAAATTATTATATGCGAGAAACAAACTGCTCGGCAATCGACCCGGCCGACTTACAACTTGCTCGTCTTTTAGGTGGGGATAGGGGACAGAGTGGGAGGAGCTAACCGGGATTACCCAGGAGTTTGATGCGCTTCTCATGGTCAAACCACGACGCTCGAGGCTAGAAGCCAGTATTGCCAACCGAAAGTAGCCTAGCTCCGTCGAGAAGTACACACGCGGCGTGTTTATACGTCTGGCGTTTAGTTGACGTTGCCGCGCAATTCTAATGGATAGTTTCGTCGTTTCTATAGCAACCGTGATGTGACCTCGTTCTCACGCATTCCTCTGCCTTTGTATTATTTAATCTGCTTTGAAAGATAAGACTCGCTTATGTCTATTGAAAGATAAGATACGCTTATTGACTATTGAATCAAATAACAATATCATTCGGGGTTTTCGATCGTTTGTTTGGATAAAACTACGTACCGTATATTGTAGAATTAAATTTTTTGTGTGGTAATATGGTATTATTATGGTATATATCTATCTATATAATTATTAGGCTACATGAAAATTTGTCGGTTGAACTCCTCCGCCATTTCTTAACCGATTTTATCCATTGACGTCTCATTGGAAAGAGCGTGTCGCGTAGATTTGCAAACTGGCCTTACATTTTTGACACAGTCCCTTGGGTTCTGCCCCAGTGGCTTTGAAAGTTCCCATGTTATCCTTATGAAGAACATAATTGTTTACATTTTGATCAGCTGTATAATTTAATTGATGTTATTTATTTTTCGATTCAATCAAAAGGCATTAAGTAAATTTATTTACTATTCGAGTTTTAAGCTTTTACTTTTAAATAAAGAAAGAAAATATAATTGATTAATAGTTGTTAAACTTTATTATTAACTGTGTTTACAGAAACTTGTTTTCAAGATAAAACAATCATACACATGATTTAATTTATTATATAAACCATGTGATTCTAAATAGTCATTGAGCAAGTTAGTTTCTTTCAATATGCCCTCAAACTAACACGCTCCAACAGGGTTTTCAATCTGGACACTGGTAGGCCTTTCGTCAGGAAATCAGCTAGTTGGTCATTCCCAGACACATGACGTACATCAAATGTACCTGCAAGAAATTGCTCACGTACATACTGGTATCTCACATGAATGTGTTTTGACCGCTTATGAAACTCTCCAGCATTCCTAGCTAGTCGAACAGCTCCAGCGTTGTCTACAAAAAGAACAGCCTTGATTTCTTGACCATATATCTCCCCCAACATAGTTTTCAACCATACAATTTGCTTAGAAGCCTCACTCGCAGCAACGAACTCTGCTTCTGTGGTTGACAATGTAACGCAATGTTGCTTCACTGAAGACCAACTTACAATGCCATTAGCAAACATACACAAATATCCTGTGCGTGACTTTCTTGACTTGTCATTTGCAAAGTCAGCATCACTGTAGCAACGGAGAATTGGTTCACTTTTGGAATAAGTCAGTGAATAATCCAATGTCCCCTTCAAATACCGGAATATTCTCTTGACATCACTCCATGCTTGCATAGTAGGATTGTTCAGCTTTTGTGCTACCATATTCACTGCACAACTTATGTCTGGCCTCGTATTTGTTATGTACATCAGACTGCCCACAGCTTCTCGGAAGGGAACTCCTTTACTCAAAGGCTTGTTTTCCTCTACTGTATCTTCATGCTTCGTGCATAAAGGCGTACCAACTGGATTGCATTCTGACATCCTGTACCTTTCAAGTACACTCTTGATGTAAGACTTCTGATTCAAAGAAATCCTGCCCTCTGCTCTATGAATCTCCATTCCAAGGTAGGTTTCAGGATCGGTAACTTTCAACTTGAAGTCTTGTTCCAATTGTGCAATAAAATCAGACATCTCTTGTTGATTTGAACCAGCAATCAGACCATCATCCACAAATATTACTACATACAATTTTGAACCGTTCTTGTTAAGAATAAACAAACATGGATCTGCAGTACTTTGGCTAAAACCCTTCTTAAGCATACTTTGCATTAGACACTTACTCCAACACCTTGGACTTTGTTTCAGACCATACAAACTGCGTTTCAGTTTCCAAACTCTTCCACTTTTGTCATCATAACCTTCAGGTTGCCAAGTATAGATGTCCTCATCTAACTTAGAATACAAAAATGCAGTTTTTACATCAAACTGTTTTAAGTAAAGATCTTCTTGAACAGCTACATTCAAAAGACATTGAATGGTATCGCTTCGGGCTACAGGACTGAATGTCTCATTATAATCCTCTCCATACTTTTGAGCATATCCTTTTGCTACCAACCTTGCCTTGAAGCGTTCTGGATTTTGTTTTCGTGTTAGAACCCACTTTAGACCTATAATTCTCTTATTACTTGGACGTGGAACTAACTCAAACACTTCATTTTCATTTATTGATGCCATTTCATCATTCATTGCAGCTTGCCAGTGCCACCAATCAGGACTGTTAACTGCTTCGTCGTAGGAGGGACCTGCTTCAGCAAGTAAAACATAGTCTTGAAGGTATGATGGTGTATGTCGCTGACGTTGAGGTCAACTGTCATCTTCATTTATGGCTCTTACTACATCATTTTCAACTGACATTACATCATTTTCAGCAGACACTCCATCATTTTCAGCAGACACTACATCATTTTCAGCACACACTGCATCATTTTCAATCCCCACATTTCCATTGTCACTGATTTTTCGTGGAAATTGAATGCACATTTCAACTTCATTGTCTTGAATTCCCTCATCATTCCATTGAGAAGACTCACCAGCATTTTCATTTTCTTTGTTTCCTAAGATCCGTCGAGGAGACATGAATGAATCATTTTCCATCATTTCCTTGGAAATTTCCTTGAAAATAACGTCTTTGCTTGCCACAATCTTTGGCACAACATAGACTCTATAGCCATCTTGTTCGTCACAATATCCAACTAATATGCCAGAAACCGATTTAGCAGACCATTTCTTCCTCTTCGGTTTTGGTACATGGACATAGCACTCAGCACCAAAAGGGCGAAAATGTTCAACGGGCGCAGGACCCTTTTGAAACCACAACTCGTAAGGAGTTTTATAATCAACAGACGGTCCAGTGCGGTTGATAACATGACAGGCAGTGTTCATGGCCTCAGCCCAAAAACTCAAGGGTAATTTCTTAGCATACAACATGCTACGTGCTGCTTCTGCTAAGGTTCGCATTTCTCTTTCAACGGACCCCATTTGTTCAGGCGTGTAAGGCATGCTCGTTCTTATAGTGATATCACGATCAGAGAGTAGTTTCTTCACTTTGGCATTACAGAATTCCGTTCCACCATCACTCATGAACGATTTAACGACATGACCTGCTGTCTGACACTCATTGAGAAATGTTTGTAGACAATCACAAACTTCACTTTTCTCCTTCAAAAAGAAC